GCGACGTGGGCAATTTCAGCAACTTCCGAAAACACGCGTGATATTAATCCTTAATTTTACTCAGCCCCATGCCATTACCTATACTAAACTTTACAGAGAAAGACTATAAAAAATTCCACAAATTCGTGCCAATATGAGATCGGTAACAAGTTCATTAGTTGAAGGTGGGTCTTATAGGTTACATCACAATGGGAGGAATTTGGATAAATTAATTTTAATCTTCATTCATTAGTGAGTAACTAAGCTGATTTGATTTTTGGTTCTTTCAGTTTCTTTGGAACGTGAATTTCCTGGTAGTGCTTACCTCAAGTATGCCGCTAATGATCCAACAATCAACTCTGATGAAGACAAATTGACTCTTCAGTTTAAGACAGTTGAACCTTCGGGACTGTTGTTCCATACCCAGATGGGTGGCGGTCAAAGTGGAGACTTTGTCACGGTTGAGCTCTTTGGTGGAAGTTTAAGGTAAGTAGCTATGAAAAATGATTGCAAAATAATGGTGTTTATCAGTGGAGATGGGCAAGCTCTTACACAGCCTTCTTCATAAAAGAGCTTATTAATAACTTAAAGGCACATTGAAGACAAGTTTTTTTTTTATGAAGTGTTAAGGATAAGGTAGACCTTCACGAGTGTCCTTTGCCAAAAAAATTGTTACTGCACCATTTAAAGCGTAACCACCATAAACTTTATGTCAATGGAAAGGTTCTTAAATAGACTTTCCAGCAAATATTCTTTGGTTTTTAGCTTGATCTAATCACAAGCCGACAAGGTGTAAAAAGTCGAAACGGACGATGTTTCTTTGAGCGAATTAATTAGGTGTCAAATCTACCCGCACAAGGGAAACTTCAGCACAGTTTCAATCTTAAAGGGTTGGTCTCCAAAACTGAGTGGGACTTTTTCAATATTCCCATTGGTTGCTTTGCAATCTTTCTGTCAAGTTTGGTTATCAAAATTTTACCAACATGTGTTATGTTGGAGACCATTGCAGGAGATCAACTTTAAAAAACAGAAAAGCCCCACACGCTTTTTTAGAGTGGTATCTTGGGAGCCTTCAGACCAAATTTCAAGTCAATCCAAAAGGTTTCACACCCTATTAATTCATCCCAAGAAGACACACTTGCATAAAAATGAAGTGGATTTTGTTTGCTTCCAAAGTTTTTTCCAACATTTCATGCCTTTAGTTGATCACATGTCAAGTTATGTAGACACTCAAAAAAAAACTTGAAATGCTGAATGCCAATAGAAACACAGGTGTGGAGTGCCAGGAGATTCTTGGCAAAAGCTTGTTATGTTTTGCGCGAAACTGTCCTGCAGTAGTGTGTGACAGAGCTTCGGAATGCTGCAAAGAGAAGAAATTCCAGGGAAAAGAAAGTTTCGGCAGTGCTGTCAAGTTCAACTCTTACTGACCCCAGGGAGGCAGTGGAGTCCAAAATGTGAGCCCTTGTCTGTTTCGGGGAGATTTTTTTGCCATTCTTCATCAAATTCCTTCAATGTCTGGCTCAAATATTCAGGCTTCTTTCTAGCTTTAACCCAAGAGCTCTTTTCCTTTTTAACTCTACTCATCATTTCACGAACTGCTACAATAAACATGTGTAACTGACATACGAAGATGTTTATGCAGCTAATACTACCATGAATGTTCTGCTGTGACGTTACAAATGGCTTTTCACACATCGGCGGCTCAAAGAATTCAGTTTGAAAAAACTGTAGTTAAAATAGTAATGCTTTGTTTGGGGTGAAAAAAAATTTTGGCAAAATTTGGTCCGCAAAGGTCTACCATATCCTTATATACTCAGAGTTTTATTGCTTGGTAAATTGCAATAACATAATTGCTTTTTGTGAAATATTTTTAAGGAAAAATTTATTATTATTATTATTAAGGATGTCGATCATGTATTGTCAATTTATTTCCTGTTCTGCTGAATGAAGCTGAAACAAAATAATGCAGACATAAGATGAATTCTGCTACTCTGTAGAACAGTTGTTAATACATAATTGAAAGATACAAATTAC